GGCTGAAAAGAGTTATTTACCTCAGTGGTTGGCCAGAGATTGGAGGAGGAGAAGCTTGCAACAGAGAGGAAGAAAAAAGAAAGAAAAAACAGAGGAAAATTGTGGAGAAATCGCAGAATAGGGGGGGACGGGCGACACGCGAGGAAAAAGGCTGCATGCAGCCTTATTCAGACTGATCCTGGTCCGAAAAAAAAAAACTGTGGGTGGGCCCTAGCGAGAATAGGGGGGACGGGCGACACGCGAGGAAAAAGGCTGCATGCAGCCTTATTCAGACCGATCCTGGTCCGAAAAAAATTGTGGGTGGGCCCTAGCATCCAACCAATTCAGAGATTCCATGACGCAACTTTTTAGACCATGATCGGTCCGGATATATATATACAGACCGATATCGGTCCGTATAATAAATTAATATATACGGTTTTCAACATAATATATACGGACCGATTTTGGTCCGTATATTTTCATTAAAAATAATAACTCATTCTTAATTTTTTTATTTAATATTTATTTTTTTCTAAAAAATAATAAATATAGGACCGAACTCGGTCTGAATAGAAAAATGAATTTCGTATTTTCTGATGGATATAAACAGACTGAATTCGATCCGTATATATTTATTTAAATAATATTTTATTCATATTTTTTGTTATTTAATATTTATTTTTTTCAAAAATAATATTCAGACCATGTTCGATCTGAATATTATTGGTGGTTTTATACTGTGTTTTCGCGCCAATAATATATGGACTGATACCGGTTCGAATATGTTGATTAGTATATTTTGTGCCACTTGAATATATTCGGACTGATATTGGTCCGTATATTTATTTTTTCGGACCGATGCTATTTGGTTCGTATATGTTCTGTCCGTATACGTCATTTTTCTAGTAGTGAGAGAGATTTTCTAAAAATCAATAAATCATCAAGAACCTACTTGAAACGAAACTATATACAAAATTAACTCTTGCATTGTCAGTACTTGCTGTGAGTTCATCTCTCAAATATTTATAGTAATTTAACAGTCTCTGTTGTTCAATTGTTGGGCATTCCAAGCATCATCCCTCAACAGAAGTCATATTATTATATTATAAGACAAAAGGAACCTTACATTTGAAAAATTGATCATTTTCTTCCACAAAACCTGATTAATTTTTGTTGAGAAGACAAGAAACTATAGTTCCTTTGAACAAATCTGACAAGATGCCTACCTTATTGCTTCTGGATTTCTGAACAGAGTGACTTTAGTACCCTTTTAAGAATGATCTCACATGTTACTACCTTTTCACTGTTTTATTTTTTAATCCAAAAGAGCGTGCTCTATTAATTTAGGTTGCATTCCTTGCATGAACCAAAACTGATAAATAGCAAGAACTTATCAAGGTTTTTGTGAATTTTTTTGAAATTTTTTAGTGAATCCATAAGCACATTTTACTTTGTGATCATGGATTTCTTGCGTAGAAACTTCAAATATCTCTTTTAAAGATGATTTTGGCTAATTAATTGGGTCTGACATTTTTCAAATAAGCAAGAAGCAACATGAACTTGTCAAGAGTACAAAGCAGTCTGGTAAAAGCATTTAGTCTAAATCTCTTAATCATGTACTCGGCAACCTTAATGGTTTCCATGTACAACCATATGAGTAAAATTTCTAGAGTAAAATTTCTTTCTTGAACTTGGAGATCATTCTATTTTTTGTCTATGTACATGTTTTAATGTTGGAATAGGTTGAAATTGGCAAGAGAGGATCATAATGCCCTAAAACACTAAGCATGAATTGTGATTCATTACTTTATAATCAAAATGCCTTGATCTACTGACTTGGGTCCCTTTTTGAAGGTTAGTAAAAATTGTCCGCTCTAGCAACTGGAAGCAAAGACTGCACAAATAAAAACAAGATTGTTTATCTATTTTCCATGAAATGGACAAAGAAAAATTGGGGAAAAAAGAAATAGCAAGTTTGGAATTGGATGAAAGCTGAATGATGGACACACTGAAAATAGGAATTAACGACTGCAACTGCTAATTGAAAATTCAAATATTAAGCATATAAAACTGAATCACAATAAAAACTCGTCTGTTTAAAAATATACCCAATTGGAGACAGAGCAACAAATGACTGTGAGGATGTTGTGAGGTGGAGCAGAAGACTACAGATCTGTCCCACCTTTGTGTTTACACAAGAAAGACAATTTTAATTTAAATAATGACCAACAATGGTCAGCTTCTTCAACACATCTCTAAACGTGAATGAGTTGTCAATTTAATCATCTCCTTCCTCTTTTCGGATTGAGAAGTAGTTTTGTTTTCCCTGCAACTTTGACACAACCTACTTTCTTTAATTTTTAGGAATTTATAGTACCAAAAATCCAATTAGAAGATTTAGAAACACAATTTATAACTTGCAAATATTATCTTAGATTAAAATTAATCAAACAAAGATAAAATATTAGGAAAAAGATAGCCATTTTTTTTTTTGCCCTTTTTTGGGATACACTTGGTCAAACTGCCTTGAGACCATGGCAAGGTGGAATGCCATCCCCTAGCACTTAGTGCAACTTAGGCGGCGTCTAAGCGTGCTTTTTGCAACCATGCCTCCATGTTAAATGGTGGTTCCACCAAAACGGTTCATCAAGAGCCTCATTATTCACCATATTATAAAATTCAATTAAATTTAATGTCCAAGTTGACAGAAGGACCAATGATGGACCTTTTCAAAAGGTTTAGGACTATGGGTGGTATGACACGAAGGTTAGGGACAAAACTGTCCCATATCAAAAAGTAAGGAAGAAAAGAAGAAATTACCCTTTATATTATTTTCAAACTTCAAACTTCATACACGGATTAAGTTTTTTTCCTGCACTCAACTTGCAAGGCTTTAAAGGACAACACCTTGAACTGCTTTTCCTTGCAAGTATACTTCAAATGCTGTGTCGATGCTCTTAGTCATGATGGTGACTGGTGCACAACATTGGTGTGCAAGAAACAATCAATGGACATAAAAATAAGTACCCAGATCATGGGAACAGTTGGGGAAGGTTAACAAGGTACAATCCATTTCTGTCTTGACCTAAAAGAAGGGATCACGACCAAGCTAACTTTCCTTAAGGTGGCTCCAACAAAGAGATGACCGTGAGAAACAATGTCCAGTATGGCACGCATGAAAACTAGTTCTCCTCGACAAGCCATACCGTGAAAAATGCTTTTGCTTTAGCCATCAAACCTCCAGTCATTATCCAAAATAAGTCCCTCAAGTTTCTTCGTAACGTTTGGAACGGCAATGGGAATCATCTTTATTATTGTGTTTGCTGGGTTTGACAGGTACTCATTATAACGATAAGAAAATTTTGCAATGAAAAAGATCATAATGAGCTCAACAAAACAGATCTACGTTGCTGACCAAAAAATGCTCAACAAAACAGCAAGGTTATATAACCATTAATCAGTGTTTAATTAGGACACAGAGCAGTCCTACAGCTGATCAGCATGAGAAGATAGGAGTGATGGAAGATTGCCAAGAACAGCAGAAATCAAGAGTCCTGGAACTTCAGGGTGCCATATTCAGAGACTATACCTGCTACTTGTAAATTTCAATGGTGGATTACCAGCCTGCATCTCAAACTAAACAGCCTGAGCAACTGGTTCATCTGCACCAGATGCTTCATCCCTGAAAATTATGGACAGTTAGCTAAGGATGAGCCACTGTGTTGGAGAGATACATGTATGATAAGCTATGTTTGCAGTCAATGAAGCCTTACTCTGCATAATACCAAACAATTATAAGAAAGAAAAACAGAAACTCAGAGATAAATGGTCTGAAGACCTTGTCCATGCTTAATAAGTGTTCTTTTCTTTTTTTTTTGGCAGAAACCATATGACATTCAAGAAGAGGTTGAACTGAGAAGAGCAGGGTACCTAGAGATAACAGACTTATGACTTGCGCATCAGGTATAGATCATCAATCAGCACAACATTGTTTGGTATAACAAACACAAATTTAATTAGCCAAAAGAAGAAAAAAAAAATTGAACACTTTCAGCGTCAGCCCAAATCATTTCTGTTTTGATACTGGTTTGTAATGATTTCTTGCTCTCCCCCATCCTTTTGATTAATTGTTACTGACCAAATCTAAACAATAGAAAATCACCAATATAACCCCAGCCCCTAATAGGAAAAAAATTAAATAAAATGAAAAGAAAAGCTAGACAGTGGCAATATTGAGGCCCACTCAAGTTGATTTTAATTAATGTTTCCCTACTCTGGGATGATGCATCCTACCTGCACAAAAAAAGCTTCCAAAAAAAAAAAAAAAAACCAAAAGAGCCAGCTTAAAAAAGACAGTTAGCCTGAAGTATTATAAGTCTTAACTCTAGCAACAATGCATCCTAACATGTTCAAAAATTCATGAAATGGAAAGTTTTAAGGTTGCACCAAATATTTCAGAAGATTACTGTCTTCAAAAAGATTTTCTTGTGGACAAGCAGGGCAAGTTTTAGGTCTATGTAAAGCTATAATCACTAATACCCTCTTTTGTTTCAGATTCCACAGAATGAAATGAATTCTGGAAAATGATACGTGCTCAAATATTGCCTACCTTTGAATTCCTTCTCCAACTTCCATTCTGAAAAAATTCCCAATCTTCACAGGACAAGAGACTTCCTTGGACAGATTATCCAGCATTGTCTGCACAGATCAGTACAAAATTTTAGTCCACCTAGGTGCATTATAAATCACATACACTGATACAAATGCATGCACATCTGTCCACAAACCTTAACCAAAAGTCATGCTATTTTAACGATCTTAACATTCAAAATATGCACTGCTTTAGACCTTGAAATTCGCAAAGTGATGGGTGGTCAAAGATGATAAATAACCTTTGCAGCAGGGTCACCTCATATACCTTTATCTTTAGAGAGTCATTCAAGAAATACTTTTGCTCCATCAGAACAACCTCCTCAAAGTATTTGCGAAGACGACCTTCAACCATTTTTTCTATAGCCATCTGGGACTTTCCAGTACTTTCAGCCTGGCACACAAAATTCAGAGAAGTACTTTAAAACTTTGCAACTTATGCATATTAAATCAATAAGAAAATTGTGAGACAGTACATGATGTATTAATATTAATAAAAATACTTTCAAAGATCTTTCTTTCCTGACAAGAAAACCAAGTCACTGTAACAAGGTTCAAGCTGATAGAAATCTAAGCCATGCATGTCCATATGCTGGCATGCCTTGGATAATTAATAATAATTGTATCAAAAGAAGATTCTACACTTCTAAGGTTTTGTATTTGTAAGTCCTTATTGATTCCAGGTGAGATTAATCAACATTATGAAACAGGAAGACAAAAATCTGACAAACACCCTACAAAACCAAACAATCATAAAATTAAGTATAGAATAGTATATTATGTTCAAAATAAATTCTGCTGATAAACAAACAAAAAAATCATAGTCAGAAGTGTACATCTTTTTAGATCCTTGTTCTTTGAGACCAATATCTTTGACTGGCAAAAAAAATCTGGAGCCCTGACCATGCAGTGAACAAAAGCATTGCTATAAAGAAATTTCCATGCTCTCATCATCAGGTTCTGAATAACGTATTGTATCACAATTCACAATTAGAAAATTTTATTTTCATAGAAGTACTAAATCTCTATGTTCCTCCAATTAGATAGAAATTCATCACTCATGCAGCAAATAGAAGCATGAATCTAACCCTCAAACAAGAAGAATTAGAGGAAAATTGAAAGTGTCACCCACAGATATGACTTCTACAAGACTGAGGGAAACACCTGGCATTTAATTTAAGTACCGTGATTAAAAATATAATAGATGCAGGACAGAATATACAGTACTCAATATCACAATGGAATTACAGGTACCTGAGACTGAAGAATTTCACGTTCAGTGTCAAGAGCATCTGAAGAAACTTTTTCCTTTGTCAAAAATAATGGCTTCGTTGCTACTATATGCATTGCCAGTTCTGATCCAACATTTTGGAGGGCATCCAGATGGGCATTCTCATCTTCTACTTCAAGTGATAAAATTCCAGCAATTCGGCCTAAACCTTTATCCAAGTCAAACAGTTATTAATTACTTTTTGCATCCAAATCTCCTTGGTCCAGCAAATAATCAACAATTAGATAAAGACAGTATTTCAAAGAAGATAATGTTATGCATTTGTGATGTGAGTGCTTGTTCATGCATGAGTGCTGTCAAGTCAAGATAAAAGTAAACAAACCTGGTTGAGGGCTTGTATGGAGATACGTAGAAACAACACCGTGTGAAGTTGTAGACATCACAAACCCCCTTCTAAATCTTACATTTTCTCCCATCATTGCAGCCACTTCTGTAACTGCATTTTGAACAGTTGTCTCTCCACTTATTTTAGGGTGTTCAAGATTAAATTTCAAGCCCTGATGCAAATCAAATCATTCAACTGTCACTTTCAGAAAGCAGTTTCATTTATCGTATCAAAGGGCATGAAATTGAAACACAAACTCCAAAAGGCTTAGATTTAGTTCATCAACCCTAATAACTAAGGGTATTACTGAAATTCTTTACTTCACCAGTTCCACTTAGATTTCTGTTTGTGACATGTAGACAAAAATAACTTATACATCAACATAAATCATCAAACCATGGAGTTAAACCAGATCATTCAATTATTAATGATAGTCATGAAAAGAGAAATGCAGTTAAAACAAGATCAGATCCTCGAATCCCATGCGATACAAGAATACAATTCAAGCAGCCTATTGACATAGACCCTGAAGGAGGAGAGATCTTCAGAAAGATGATTTTTCCTGAAAACAAGGATTATGAATAAATTGAAACCTTACAAAGATCTCATGTTTTTATAGAATGTGAACTCTAACCAAAAGGGGGTTGCAAGCTCGAGTAAGTTTTTAATAATATGCAGGCTAGGCTATTATTGAAAAAATTAAAAACAGCATGTCAGCATTTTTCGTTGCTGCATTGATATGCAGAAAAATAAACTATAAGTATCATACAAACTTCTCACCTCTAAATAATCAGGACCAAATGGAAAGACACCAGAAATAGAATTATCAACCAGCAAAGCTTGCTTTGCCAAAGTCAAGGCCTACATAAATGATTAAAACCAATAGGTTATAAAGAGAAAAGCTTATTAAGAATGAATAACATATCAAGTATAACATAAAGAGTGATCCAAAGCACAAATATACTGAAAATTCATCTATTGATATAAGTTTAAATGAAAATTTACAACTGGAGAGAGAATCAGTAAGACCCACTAACCAAGTATTGAAAAATTTCATTCCTTGCAACAAAGTCAGTCTCACAATTGAGTTCAATAATAGCAGCCTTCCCCTCACTTTGGGCCAGCCCAAGCAGGCCTTCCGTTGCAGCTCGAGATGACTTTTTCATAGCCAGAACCTTCCCTCGTTTCCTTAAATCTTTCTGTGCAGCCTCTGCATTCAATCAAAAACCATGGTCCAAAAGATTCATTAAACAGAATCCACCCTTCAAAAACTAATGGGGTGGGGGAAAAACATTATATTCAGATAAAAACAGAAACCGGCTTTATTTTGTACCAATGTCCCAATTGCACACTACAAGAGAAGCCTTGACGTCCTTTATGGGGGCACTGGTTCTTTCCCTCAGTTGCTTGATGAGGTTCATTTGCTCCGAAGAGGAAGGAGCTTGAGAGCTAAACCTCCTCGAAAATAAACCCAAAAAGGCAAAATTTGAGGCTGTAACGTGTGTTGATTGAGAAATGGCGATCCCTTTGCTTGCCCCAGTAGAGTATGCGGCAGCCACACTCTGCCTTGCGCCATATAGCGACATCCCAAGAGGTCGCTTTGTATTTCTGAATAAAGCCATACTATTTGACAGAAATTAACCTGAAGATCAAAGACAATGCAAAGATCGCTCAGAAATAGGAAATGTTAAAACTAAAAACCCTGAAAAATATTAGGGTTTAAGGGATTCGTAGAGAATTAAGCAATTATAAAACATGGATAGAAGGATATCAGTTTTCTGATTGCTTCATAATCAAAATCGAGGGAAAGGAATCACCTTTGAATTATTGAATTTTGAGATGAATCAACTTGTAGAGGGACCGTGGCGAGGCTTGAGCATAAACCTCAGGTTTTCGTTAATCGTTAGCGTCGAAATGGAGTCGGCTGGATCCATGGGTCGGGCTGCAATAATTGGGTTAAGCCCACATGGTCCTAAACGGTTTTCAAAGTAGCACAATACAAAACAAGAGGAGAGGATACAGTTAGGAAGAAAAGTAAAAATGGAAAATCAAGTCCTCTTGTAAAAAATTTGAGCTTAATTCAATTTTTAGACTATTAACGAACAAGCTTAATTTCATTTTAATCTAAAAAGTTTATTTTCTTTCTAAATAGTCTATAAACTTTAGAAATATTTTAAAATAATCTAACAATACAAAATTTTGTTAAATTTAACGAAAAAGTAGTCCTTTAAATTTTAAAAAAGTGACACTATAATCCTAATAAAATATGATGACTCAAGAAATATTTTATAGAGATAAATTAATTAAAATTTATAATAAACTTCAATAACTAGTCTGTTTTAAATGATAGATTGTATGTAGTCTATTCTAAAAAATTATTTAAATGTTCCTGAAAAATAATATAAAAAATAAAATTAAGGATGTTTAAATAATTTTACAAGACAGATTGCAAACAGTTTGCTCTGTAAAACAGTTTTATGAAGAATACATTTAGCAAGATAATATTAAAAACTATTTTTATGGTAGATATAAATTTAAGGACTAAAAGATCAAAATAAATATAGTTAGAGGATTGAATATTTTCTTAGAGAATAAGAAGATTCCGTTAAAGATAATAGACTAGATGAAATTGAAATAAATGTGAAAGATAATAGACAAGATTGAAAGAATTCAAAGATAATAGATTTAACTGAAAAGAATATAAAAGTTAATAGATGATTTGTTAAATTAACCCAAAGAAATTGAGGACAACCTAAATGAAACAATTCCTTGAATAGAATTTTTCATAAAATAATTGTGTTCCTTCTCTAAAGCCCGTCGCTCCCTTTTTATACAACTTAGTAGGCAATGCAAATAAAGAAGAATGAGAAGTTATCCAAAAAAAACTATAGTAAATCCATTTGAATAGCAATAGTAATATTGTCTAAAAATTGCATCCCAACATAAGGTTAATTTCCCTTTACCAGCATCTCTTTGCGCTCATGATAATATGGGATTTTTTTTTAAAACAAATTCGAAATCCTCAAAATGAATGAAGAATTCGAAGAAGAAGCTATGCTAAGCAATTAATAAAAGAAAAAGGCAAACATTGAGACTCATATTTAGTTAAGCAATAAAAAATAAGCAATATAAGAATTCTTTATTATAGAACAATATTGAAGAAGATGAATTCTACAATAATAACATTGGTGCCAAAGGTCTCAAACTTGCTCAAATGTCTTAATTCAAGTTAATCTCCTATTGCAACCTAATACATAAATTCATTACCAAGATCTACTTGAGAGACTCAAAAAATGTCTACTACTATTCATCAACCAAAACTAATGCGCCTTTGTATAGAAGGTTGATTAATGGTGGAAAATGTCTTACTAGCTCATGAGATAGTGAAGCATTATCACAAATAGAGTCTTACTCATGGTTTGCTTTAAAAATTGATTTGATGAAAGCTTTTAATTTTATTCACTAGGATTTTATTTTCGAAGTACTTTTTGCTCTTGGATTCCATCTCAATTTTTTAATAGGTTGGCTACATGTATTACTACATTGAGAATCTCTATAGTGTTTAATGGTAATCTTATGAGATATTTCCTTGAAAAAAATGGGATCACTACAAAAAGGGGATTGGATAGGGTGACCCCTTGTCACCATATATCTTTGTAATATGCATGGAAGTCCTTTCTAAAATGCTTAACAAGGTTGCTTTAGAAGGGCAATTGGCCTACCATCCTAAGTGTGCAAAGTTTAATCTTACTCATCTCTACTTTGTCGATGATCTGATCATTTTTATAGATGGAAAGTCTTCCTCTCTTATTGCTATTGATGATATTTTAAAGAGCTTTTATATTGTTTGTGGCTCAAAGGTGAATTATGCACAATTAAAGCTTTTTTGTTGTGGTATTCCTTCAAATGTGATGCAGCATCTTTCCTAAACCTATGGCTTCAAAATTGGCACACTTCCTATTAGGTTCTTACAAGTGCCTTTAATCACAAGAAGGTTAATAGAGAATGACCTTATGCCACTAGTATCTAAGATCATTGAGAGATTGAACTCTCTAACATTAAAACACCTATCTTCTGTTGGTCAATTACAATTAATTTCATATGTTATTCGGGAGATTACAACATTTTAGTGCTCTACTTTTATCTTGTCCAAAAAAGTAATCAAACCGGTAGAAAGGCGTTGTAGTGCTTTTATATTGAATGGCTTAACAGAGAGTGCAAAGGGTGTTAAAGATAGTTGCAATTCGTTTGCTTCCTTAAATAAAAAGGTGGCTTGGGATTAGAAAGCCTTGCTCATTGGAATAAGGTGTGTGTATTGAGATTTATTTGGATGATGTTTACTAAGGCAGGCTTCATTTGGGTTGTTGGGTAAAGGAGTACTTGCTACAAGGGAAGAGTTTCTGGTATATCAACATCTTAGGGATTAAGGAAAATACTCAAGCTTCGATGTTATGCTAAGGGCTTAATACAACATATATACCTAGTAATGGCATGGATATTTTTCTATAGCATGACCACTGGTATCTTGTAGGGCCATTAATCACAGCATGTGGAACTAGAATTGTTCGACTTGAATTTGATCTTATTCACCAAAGTTTCTAAAGTGGTAAATGTCAATTTCTATTATTGGTCTCCTGCTTGCTGCTCACAATGTGTATAGATTTAGATGGCTTTCTTTGACACCTTAATCTAAAGAGTGGGAAAAGGGATTTGATTATTTAGACTGCCTTTACCTCGGGTGCATTTAAGACAAATAGTGCCATGCATTCCCTATAAGTAAAGCAAGTGAAGGTACCATGGCACATATTAGTATGGTTTAGTCATGCAATCCCTAAGCATAGTTTTATTTGCTAGCTAGCACTCTTGGATAAACTATTAACAAGAAACAAGCAAAGAAAATGGACTCCTAGTATTAATGACACTTGCTTGTTTTGTAAAGTAGTAGCGAAAACAACCAATCATCTATTTTTTTTAATGCCATTTTACCTGGCAAATATGGCATGCTATTTATGATATAGTAGGAATTCTCTTATTATGTTATTGGCAAAGTTAATTGTCCAAGATAAGGAAGCATATCAAAAGGAAATCCTTGTATTGTGTCCTTGTTAAACTTGCATGGAATGCCACAATTTATTATGTTTGGAAGGAAATAAATAATAGGGACCATAGGCAACAATTCTAATTCATTTTGCAAGCTATAAATAATATTCATTTTGACATTAGAAATAAGGTTTTGGGCTTTGTAAAGCCAAAATTTTCATCACTTCCCCTATCTGTAGTAGTGTAATAAGGGTTAGAAGATATTTTTCAGCTACCAATGCAATCTTAACTGTAGGATGTTTTTCATAAAACTACAATTATAAATTGATTATAGTAGTAGTTGCTATTTCAGTGTACAGAATAATCTTATTAGATAAATAACATTTTACATTTTATCCAAAAAAAAAAATTAAGGGTTAAGCAACAAATATCATATCCAATTGAGATAAAGGTGAAGTGAAGGAAATACAAGTGAAATGCTACAACCAATAAAAGCTAAATAAGGAAAAAGCTCACCTACTTGTCAAACTATAGGTAAGTAGGTTCTCTCTTAGTGTGAACCCTAGGTCATTGAGGAAAAGAGTGTGCAACACTATTGTTTGATTGGAGGAAGAACATCTAGGCCTTTTGTCGCCAATGGGATCTAGTGCAATGAGTTTAAATCAAAGTATAGGAGAAGGGAATTTGGGTTAAATTCAATAAATAGTCTATTAACTATGCGATTTATTTTAATTTAGTCTAAAAACAATTTTTTCTTTTAAAATGATTAATAAACTATTAATTTTGTTTTAAAATGGTCTACTTGACAAACATTCCATTGACTAACTAACAGAATTCTTTTTAGCTATTGACAAGTTGCCCCTTAAACTTTTGAAAAATGTTCAATATAGTACACATATTTTTATATTTTACAACATTTTACTTTTGAAGTTCAAATTTTTTTTGTCAAATATAATAATTACCAAGATGAAATTTCAATTTACATTCATTAAGATTCTAATTTTAATTTACAACAATCAATATTATAATTTAAATTTTATAATCTCTAAAAAAATTAATTTATTGTTAAATATTAATATTTTTAATAAATAAACCCTTCCAAAATTTAATTTAATTAAATGAGCACTCACATATAATTAAAATTACAAAAAAAAAATAAAAATTCATTTCAATTTTATAAATTCAGAAATTGAAATCATGCATGTATTATTAGTGTTAAAAATGAAATTAAAATTTTTTATTTTTCTATACAAAGTAGTGAAAAAATATGTAATTTAATAATGATATTAAATTTTTTAAGAAATAATAAAATTATAATTATAATATTGATTATTGTAAATTAAAATTATTATCTTAATTAATTATTACATTTGACATAGAATTTAAACTTCAAAAATAAAATATTGCAAAAATATATATACTAAATTTAACATTTTTCAAAAGTTTAGGGGCAACTTGTCAACAACTTGAAAGAATTCCGTTAGTCAGTTAACGAAATGTTTGTTAAGTAGACCATTTTGAAACAAAATTGATAGTTTATAAATTATTTTGAAAGAAAAAATTGTTTCTAGATTAAACTGAATTAAATCATATAATTAATAGACTATTTATTGAATTTAGCTGGAAATTTGTGAAAGGGGAGGGTGGGATTTCATAAGAGAGAAGGAACAACTAGTTTAATGGAAGGGGTGAAAAATCCTATTTTTAATGAAACACATAATTTCATTGAGGTTGTCTTGTAATTTTTTTTACAAGACAACTTTTTTTTCTTTTTTGTTTTTCGAATAAAATACGAGTATGGTTATTGCCACCATCAATATTATTAAGGTCACCAAAATTTCAATTTTTTTTCTTAAATAGTGTCTAAAAATATCAATTTGTTAAACAATAAATATCACTATTTTATTAATTATTAGTTAATAGTTATAATTATTAGTCATTTTTATCAATTAAATTAAATAGAGTTAATATTTTTAAAAACAATATTTTACAATTTTAGTGGTCAAAACATTATTATTGGTAGCCATAATTATGCCCACAAAATACTACCTTTTTTTATTTTTTAGACCATTTCCTTTTCCTGAAATTAAAGAGTTGTGGCCTTCACAATTTTAGATGACAATAAACTCCACCCTATTAGAATAGATAAAGTTATTGTAAGAGAGTAGTATTAATTATAAATGAGTCAAATTAAGTTTCTTAAATTAAAACTCAAGATTCTTGCTATATTAACAAGTCAACTTAGAGTTTTTAACAATTTTGAATATATTAATCTTGAACTCGACTCACATTGATTACACTAGTTTAATTTAAAATAAAAATAAAAATTTAAATATTTAATATATATATACAAACCAAATCAGATAATTATCTTTAAAAATTAATCAAAACTAATAAAATTGCAATACTTTTTAATTTCGCTAATAACTACTCCCTCTATTTTAAAATATAAGTTGTTTAATTTTTTTACATGTAACTTTATTTTTTATAGTTATAAATAATTATTAGAATTTTCTTTTTTCTTATATGTAGTTCTAGTTAAGTAATTTCATTTAATAAAAAATTAATTATCATTAAATAACTTATATTTTAAAATAAAGGGAGTATTAAGATTTTGTAAATAAAAATTTGATGAACCAATCATTTGGTTTTAGTATCCACCTTTAAAATTAAAAACTATTATTAATATACTTAAGACTTAACCCTTATTTAGCCATCTAACTTATAGATTTTAAGGTTATTGATCCCATCTAAAAACTTAAAGGTATTCCCCTCAATATAATTTGGGTTTTCTCATTATTTAACGAATTTGAAGTGGTAACCACTAGTTTGATGTCATCTCTATCTTGGTAAATGATATATTTGACATCATTATCTTATGTGGTATGCCACTGGCACGACCTTGGATTCTTGTTTTGACTCTCTCTCTCTCTTTCTATATATATATATATAGATATATTTAGTATGATAGAGTAGGACTCGTATCACATTAAAGGAGAATTTTTTGTTGATTGCCACAATAACGTATCATGTTGGATAGAGATGTTGATATGTTACTTATTAGAATAAAGATAACGTCTAATTAATAGTGTGCACTTCAAATCCATTAATTAACGAGTGTTGGGGGTGTACTGGTGACGTGGGTTGATGAGTCAACAGTGGTGCTGATGTGGAGGCTAACTAGGATGCCACCCGTGAATGATGAGAAGGGTTCTTTTGGCAGCATCCATTTCACGTGCAAGAGGCTATGTGCCACAAGCTGTCTCATTCTATCCAACAGTGTTGGTTGGCAACAAATTCTCCAGCAAAGTTTGAAAAGTGTAAACTTTCTAGCCAAGCCGAGAAAGGAAGAGAGAAAAAGAGTTGAGGAAGGCGAATGGAAAACCAGAAACCGAGGATGATTACACAACTACCAAAAGGTATAACAAGAAGGCATACATTATGGTGGGAGTGTTGAAGATAAAGAAATAAATAAAGGTTAAGAATTACAACTTGAGAAGCATATTTATATATAGCATATTTATGCATAGCATATTGCAACATAATAATAATGACAATAGATGTGTCCTTTGTTATTCCTCTCAAACGCTTTCACTCTATAATAAGAAACCCTCATGATGCAAATATAAGACACAACAATTTCTCCTGTGATGCTTCCATAAGAACAAAGGGATAAATTTGAAAGTAGTGATGGGAGAAGGAAAGATGACCATTTGGGGGCTTGTAGATGGATGGCTTGATCCCGTTCTTGATGATAACCCCTTGGCTTGATCCTCTGATGCTTAAGAAAAATTACCTAAGAACTGAAACTGCACTATGGTGTTTCTTAGCCAAGCTGTTTTGAAAGTTTGAAAATCATTCTACAGTGCTGGAAGTGTAGATAATATGAAGAAAAATGTGGTTTTGGGTGATTTTGGTGTGTATCATGAATGGTTAAATGTGAAGAAGTTGCTATATGAAAAAGGGAAGTTTGGGACGTGAGAGGATAGCTGGAGATGTGTAAATCTGATTTGATTTGTTCCCCCCTCTCTGTTGAGAAATGAAGGCAAATATATATATATATATATGTATATGTATGTGTGTGCTGTGGCATTTTTATAATTTTCTGGTTGATCGGTTAGAGTTGTATAGTAACCTAATGGGTAGATTTGGGTGAGCTGTCAAGTTTTGAGTGGCTTTGGACACTGCTGACAGCTTCCTAGTAGTGATATTATGAATTACCCAGTGGTTTCAATGAAGCTTCATTGGTCTGGCGAAGGACTAGGAACTGCCTATTTTTGGTGATTTCTCCAACCATATGAAATTCCATTTTTTTGCTGATACTTGAGTGTAGCTAGCAAAAATATCACTTGCACATGATTTTGGTAGATTCCCCAAGGTTTGTGTAGGACTTTGGAAGATTCTCCAAGCAAAAGCAATCTTTTTAGCAATTCCTAACATGATATAACTTGTGCAACCACCTTTGCATTAAATATGGTTACAAGTTACTGATGGAGACTGAAATATCATCCTTGGTTAATCTCTCAATAGGATTTTAAGCTCCTAGTTAGTATCAAAGGGTACTATTTTGGGAATCAAGCCCACCTTTGTGTCTTCACCACCCAGCCCTTTTTGGCGAAGTCAGGCAGCATCGTCAGTGCCAAGCTTTGCTAGTGTGACTACCTCACTTTTCCAAATGGGCAACATTGATCCATCCATGCTTACCAAGCTATTGCTCCCATAGTTTATTCTGAATAATTCCCATGAGCTTGGGTTCATGGGCTTATGTTCATCTACAACCAAAGGTAAGAATATCAATGAGTACTTGTCCAAATATTTGAGTGCACAAACCTATGTAGCGAAGAAAGATACTCCCTTGTGTATTAAAGGAGACAATAAGGATGATCATGGCTACACTCTTTTGTCTTGTGGCCATGCGAGCATTTGTGTGTTGTTGTTGTACATGGTTGGCATTGTGCCAAGATAGAGAGTGAGCAATATTGACATGTGTTGTGATATCATTGTCTTAAGTCAAGCATCGTTGGTCGGCGATACCTACTAACATGTGTAATATGGAAGAAATATGTTATAAGTTAGGATTATTGATGACCGGTAATTTTGTCCCTTCATATGAAAGAGTAATGATGTGTAGGGTCACTGGCCATGTAAATGTCGCAAGGTTAGCCATGAATGGCTTCCCCATAGCCAGAGGGACAACAATGGCTAACTTTGCCCATGGTTGGAGCATGAACTATGTGGAATCGGAAAAGCACTCCCACTAATCCGCCAGGTTGCGAAGGGGTAAATCTCACTAAACCAAACTTTTCCATAACAATGAATGTGTGATAGAGAGGGGTGGAGTTGTCTCCATGGAAGGGGGACGCCAACTGCATCCATAGCCTCTGATATGACAAGGTGTGATACCATTCACAAACGTTGGCTCTTCTTGCTGTACCCGCATCGCCAGAGAGTAGTTCTGGTTGTTGTTGCTCGCCAAGCACCGCACCACCATACACCACACCACCATACACCACACCACCATGCACGGGCAACCACCAAAGGACCATCGGCCGCTACTTGGTGGATTTTTTACTATTGGAAGGTAGCCATCCCATCCAATTGTAAAGTTGCAACTATTGTCGACACGCTAATCGCACCGAGTTGCATTGACTCTTTGTGCATTTTCGGGAGCTAGTAAGACGAAGTATGTAGAGGTATGTAGCCTTTGCCCATCGCTAGAGGCTGAATAAGATGAAAATTTGATCCTTTATCCATCGTTAAGGGCTGTGTAAATGCAACCTGTTGTCCATGGATGGGTGCCATATCCATGTAGCAAAGTAGGCTCTTTGTCAATTGCTGAGAGCTAAAAGATATAGCAGTAAATATTGCCGTAGAAAGAATCATGACTATCACAAATGCCCAGCCATGTCGTAGAGATAAGTTTGGCCACGTCTGGCCATGTAAGTGTAAGAAGAGATGCTAAGGCGGCTCATGTCTGTCTTATTCCCCAGTGAAGTAGGTAAACACCGACTTTGGCGATGTTGACTCTACTACAATGGTCACCAAAAAATAGTAATAACATGTCTGATGTGGAAAATGTGTGTTGGACCTTTGTTGATGTGGCGCTACACATATTGTCAATTTCAAAGCAATATAAATTTATCCCTCAACAAGAAGGAATCCCCCAAATTATATTGTTGAGGGACTAATACCCTTAAATTTTTAGATAAGGGCTCATAACCTTAAAATCTATAAGTTAAAAGGCTAAATACATTTTAAACTTATACTTAATGAACAACTTGATTTCAATTCGATTTAAATTTAGGCTTTAACAAAGCTAGCTTAAGTTTCCAACAAAGGTTTTGTTGAGTTTACAAAGGTTAAGTTATGACAATGTGTAACAACCAATTCTTGATGTATAACTAGATTGCTCGGGTTTTGTATACTCTATATGTGGTTTTAGTTTGATTATTTATTTTTTAAGATAAAAAGTTAAGGTGAAACACTTAATAAATGAAAATTAATTGAAATTTTTTGGTTTTCAATATGTTGTTCTTATTTAATACTTTTGCTTGATAAAAAAATTTAATTCTTATCCATATGTTATGTTAAAATTTTCTTTGAGCTTTTTTTTTAAAAAATAAAAAAGTTAAAATAGTAAAAGAATATATTTAAAAATAAATAAATTTTCCTTAACCATTTGCTACTAATATGAAAGAAAAAATTTTAGAGATTAAAGTTTAGAGATTCATATATATTAGTTTGGATTGCATATTAAAAGTACAGTTCTGATTAGAAAATTACTAAATTACCTTTAATAAAAATAGATATAAAACATGTATCATTAAGGGCATTTTAATAATTTTAGTAGTCGAACTACACTTTTAATAATTTTTTTAAAATGTAGTTTGGTCTGAAAAATACCTTTTTTTTATATAAAGTTTAAGTATTCTTTCTATTCATTTTTAATAGTTTTAATTTAATTTTTTGACTTTTCAAATATGAATTTTAGATAAAAACTTAATATATTATATAATTAAAAATTAAAATTTTTTATTAAATAAAAATATTCAACAAAAACTACATATAAAAGAGAAATTGTCAATTGATATTCATATAAATTGTTAAATTTTCATTTAAAATTTATATTCAAAAGCTAAAAAATCAAAATAAAACTATTAAAAATAATTGGGTGAAGTATTTCTCAATACTACTTTTATAATTTAATAAAAGAATGGAAATTACCAACAACAACCCAGGCAAGCCCTAATACCCCAATTCAGAATTTAGAAGGTTAAACCCTTAATTTGATCTCTTAATTATTGTATAAACCTTTGAATTAGTTTCAAAATTTTAAAAAAAAATTATTTACTTTCTAAATTTTTAATTTAGCTCCAAATTAGTGACATGTCCATTCCTTGACAGTAGAAGACTGTTACCTAACAGCCACATGTTAGTAATAGGCCATTTTAATTATTTTTAAATAGAGGGACCAACTTGGAAGCAAATTTAGAAACTTTAAGGACTAAATCAAAATTTTTTTTAGTTTACAAATCAACTCAAGGATCTGTAAAATATTTGAGGGCTAAATTGGAGATTTAACCAATTTAGAAAGACCAGCCCTAAGAAAGAGGCAAAAGCCTAAGAATAGCCCTTACCTTGATAAGTTGGACGGTTTTGGCCCCTCACCTTATAACATAACGGTTTTAGTCCATAACCTATAAGAATGGAAGAAAATAGCCTCTTTTTGTAACTTCCGTTTGTTGGGCTTACCGTCCGTCACTTCCGTCCATTTCTCCGTTATCTTTCCGTTAACTTTCTCAAA